TGGACCCACAGCAACACTTCACAGAAGCACTCAGACTTATTTTTTTCTCCTGAGATCCATTTCTCTGCCTTTTAACTATGCAGTCATCGTGCACAAGGTGCATGTAAAAACACACGTTCAACACAAAAACTGCGGAAGAAATTACACACACTAGGTTTTGTTGTGTACGCGTGTGTGTGCGTATGTGTGTCGGTTTCAGCCACCAGAAAACAGAAAATGTGTCCTTGCTGTAATTGTTTAACAGCAACAGCAGTAACCTGCTCTTTTTGAATTGATGTGTGCAGTTAACAAGTCAAGCTTACATGTGTTTTTGTGCACACGCGCTACTGTATCAAGCTAACAAGCTGACAAGCAGTTCAACACCCTTCACAGATAGAAGAGTGTTTAAAATGGAGAGAGAAATGGAGCAAAGAAAGAAAAACAAACAGAGGAGTGTGAGGGCTGGAAAAGCAATTCAGTCTATTGATGAAATCATTCTATTCATTTGACTATCGAAATGTAAATGCATTTCGCTCCTATTCCCCTCCTTACTCCATTCTTTAATTCAGTGTATTTTCTTTTATGTCTTCCATCCTTCCTTCACGTTCTCTCCCTCGCAAAGCATTGCCAGTATCATCTAGATAGAATTGTGTAAGGTTTTCTCTCTCTTTCTCTTTTTTTTTTTTTTTTTTTTTTTTTTCTTTTTGCTTATTGGACTGTGTGTTCTTATCAGCATTGAGAGCACAATGCTTGGTGTGATGGAAAGGTATTAGCCAACCCGTGGTAGCTACATTGTCAGCACTTCTCCCTTCTCTGTCTCTATTGGTACCACTTCTCCTTCCTCTCTGTTTTCGGCCTTTCTTCTTATTCCTCTTTCTCATTTTTAGTGTTTTTCCATAGGAATTTGCTTTTGAAAATGTTGTCAAGCCAGTAAGAGGCTTCATTCCTTTACACCTCGGTTCATCAAGGTGTGGTCAAATGCAGCTTGTTTGATATTAATGGAGTAAGAAACATTTTAAAAGCAGATTTTAAGCAGTAAATGGTAACATCCTGGCTGCACACAATATCTCTGTAACTTATGATACTGTATTTTGGTTGTTTGACCATTTTTATTTGTTATAACAACACTTTTTCATGGCAGCAGGCTATGAACAAATGAGAGATTTCTGCTGCAGTAATGTCAAGAATATGTTTAAATGACTAAAAAGGCAGCTGTAAAACTCTCTTTGCTCTCCCCTCTTTGCTCCTGTAACCCAGAGGGGGTGGGTTAAAACAGTTTGGAGTTATTTGAGGATCAGTTTGTGTTTATGGCTGCCATCTAGCGAGGCGGTTGTACAAAGATTGTATATAATAAAAGAGTGCGGGTGCACGAAGAAGCACAGACTGAAGGAGCGCACAGCAAACACCACCGAGGCACAGAGTGAGGCAGAGAGTAGTTGCTCTAATACGATGATTGTATGTTTGTCCCTGCCAGTTGTCAGGCCACTGCATCAGCCTACCGCTCTAATGACAGCTTGTCATACTAAAGTGGCCCACCTTCCTTCAAAACACACACAGAAAAAAGAAAAAAAAACTACTTTCTTTTTTCCTTTCTTTCTTTTTTCACGCACACCGTTCTGTTTTTTTTTTCCTCTCCATGCCTCCACATATTTATCTCTCTTTCATGAGTCATTGTGCGTTCCTTCAAGAAGTGAGAAATGAAAAAAGAAATAGGAATGAAGAGAAAGAGAAAATGACAGGGATCGACTCGGAAATGGAGACAAGGAAAAGTGGTAATCTTTCTGGTGTGTGTGTGTGTGTTGTCCCACAGTAAGTGACACATAATGTAAGTAGGCCCGCCGCATTTCTGATGCCTGCGATGGGACTGAACAGCTGCTTTTTTCACTTTGAAGTTGGTGTTGCAAACATTGTATGTGAGGGCAATTTTGTCTTTGGCTTTAATCCTGAAACACAAACCTGTAAACCCAAATGAATCAGCTTTATTCTGAGTTATTATTTTAGAGATAAAAAATAAGTTTGCCATTTCCCCAAATTTAGTAAAACCTGTGTTGATAGATTGCGATAATTTAAGACAATTCGAGAACAAGCTGAACACCTTTAGTTGTTCAATCAGCTTATCTGTTAATTATTTGACTCGGTGGCAATGTTTTAATAAGCTGTTCTTCCACTGAAGCGTAAAAAAATGCTTCAGATGGCAAAGAGAAAATAACATGTAATACCGTTTTCTGTAACAGAATTAACCAAACACGCCAAAGTCTGATTATTGCTCTTCTTTGTGTATTAACTGTAATCATCTCCTAACACACTGTTCACACCTCTGAGCCCCCTGTGAATATACGAAAAGAAAGAGAAACAAGCCTTTTCCACTTCATATAAATTTCTTTAAACACCTTAAAAACATAAAGAATTGATAAAAAAAAAAAAAAATGTATAAGACCCAACCACTTCTTTCTCTCTTGGCACTCATCTGAAGAGCAGACAGGCACAATAAGACTGCTCTTTCAGCACTGAGCCGTCGCTACATAGCACCATAATTATACTGATAACATACATACATAAATGCATTCAACCTCTCGCTCGGCACAGCGCACTGGCTGTGATTTCTTAATCTTCTTTCCTCTACTCCTCTTCTCTGCACGCATGTCTTCTTCTTCTTTTTTTTTTTTTTTTATTCTTTTTATTCCTCCCCCTTCGACTGCCATTATTTTTCATTTATAAGCAGAGCGAGAGAGAGAGAGCGAGAGAGCACCGAGAAAAGATGTGAGAGAGAGAGAGAGGGAGGGAGAAAGAGACGCGACAGAGGAAAAGAGAGGGAGAAGAGACCGGGATGGTGAATGGAAAGATAGATAGATGAGAATTTGAGAGAGAAGGAAAAAAGCGCCTGAGATCTTTTGGCACTTAAACTCTTTCACTTAATGGTACTCAGAGGGATTGACGGTCGAAAGGAGGGGGCACAAAAGAGCATAAAGAGTGAAAAAGGAGAGATTAAATCATCACCATCACATCATCTACTTAAATGGGTCTACTCTCTTTTTTTTTTTTCTGTCACCACTGTGTTTTCTCTCCCTCTGCTAGAACATGGGCTACCCTGTGTGATCTCTTTCCTTCTCATCACTCTTCCTCACATTTACATTTTTTTTTTTCCTTTTCGCTTATTCCAGCAGCTTATATGTGTTCCCTTCCCTTCTGCGTCCACTCTCTCTGTCCCCTTTTTTTTTTTTTTACCTCCTCTCCTCTTTCTTGATTTGTGTCCAAACCTTTCTCACAATGTCCCTCTCATTCCAAACTAAAGGCACACCTTAGCATCAGATAAATGGATTTATAGACATTGGTGAATACCACAAAGCCACGATTAATGGAGTCACTGAATTAGAAGAACCTGCAAGGGAGGGGAGGGAAGGAGAGGTGGGGGGAATAAAATATATGATGAAAAGGGTGAAAAAGGCCAAAGTATTCTACATCATAAATGTCACATCACTTTATGAAAGGAAAAAGTGACTGAATAAAAGAAAAAAAAAAGCACAGCATTTTTAGGAAGGAGTGTTTCTTTTCTTTTTTTTTTTTGCCTCTCGGTGCATTTGTAGCTTTGGTGAAAGGGAGAGAGGAACAGCTTTGTCTCATCTTTCTGCACATCAAACACATTAAAGCTCTGCTGCACATTAAAAACCAAACAATTTGATCCAAAACTGCTGTCTGTCAGTTGGCTATCATCAGTCATTGTAGCTCCTGCAACTCTTTTTTTTTTTTCTTCCTCTCATTTTGTCTGTCTTTTGCTTTAGCTGTCTGCCTGTCTGCCTATCTGTTTTCCTGTCTATATCCATTCTTCATTCCCCCACCCGAACAGCTCTCCATTCTCCGTCAAGGCACTGTCTGTGTTTTATGGGTCCCTGTAGAACGGGGATCTTTTACAGGCCGACTGGACTTTAGAAGCCCCTCGTTTAGCAGCATCCTGCCTTAATTAAAAACCCCTTTTGTGCTTTCTGCCTTTAACAATGAAAAGACAGAGAAGGGAGGGAGGGCAGGGTTAGAGGGACAGAGAGTAGTAATGCGTAGAGGAAGAGAAAGAGAGAGTGGGCAGAGATAGAAGAAGAGAGAGAGAGAGAGATGGCAGTGAAAAGGAAGTGATAGGAAGACAGGCAGATAGATAGTAAGGTAGACAAAGGGAAGGATGGGAAGATATGGACAGAGAGAAGATAGCTGTTAATTACAACTGCCATTAACAAGACACCAGTCAGCCTCCTTAGGGAGAGGAAGCAGGAGAGGAGCGAGGGAGAAAGGAAAGGAGGTAGAGTCTAGGAAGGGAGAAGCAGAACAAAAGATGAGGAGAGGACGACAGTGATACCCTGGCACTGATTACAGATTTACTTCTTTTTTGTTTGTTTAGTTTTTTATGTTTTTTTTTATGCATATAGTGTTTTGTGTTGTTCGGATCCTGCTAACTTCTCAAACCTCATGTGTCACTGTGCTTGAATATGACCATGTATGAATCGGTGTCTGTGTGTATGGGCTGTCTTTGGGATGACTGAGCAGCAGAGGGGCTGCTTACTGATTACCTTCATGTAGAACAAGCTGCTATTGACTGGAGAGTGACGGATGACCTCGGCCCCGAGCATGTGAATGTGTTTGTGTGACGATGTGCTGCTATGGATGCCTCTCTGCTACTCTCTTACACATGGTTTCTTTAATAAACCACAATCCCTTCTTGAATTTAGCACTTTTGCTCTCTTTCTTGGCATATTTTTCCCAGTGACTTTTCTTAAATGTGACTATATAAAAGAACATAAATCCATCATAGATAATGACAGTGAGGAAATGTGACAATGAAATAATGATTGCTATGACTAGACTTGATTAAACATCATTCTACTGTATCCTTAATTTTCCTTGTCTTATTCTGTATTTCCTCTAACTTTCCCCCCTTTTGGTTTTGTCTCTTTTCTTTATAAACATCCTTCTTTTAAACATGTTATTGTAATACTTTTCTTCCTCTTCTTCTATTTGTCCCTGTCTCACCCACACAGGCTTCTCTGCAGAATGTCCAGTAAGGAGCGTCACCTAGAATCCAATTGTCCGTCCTCTTATATAAAGACTGAACCGTCTAGTCCTGCCTCCCTGACTGACAGTCTAAACCATCACTCCCCTGGTGGCTCCAGTGACGCCTCAGGCTCATATTCGTCCACGATGAACGGCCACCCCAACGGCTTAGACTCCCCAAGCCTTTATGGCTCCAACGCAGGGCCCCTCGGACCTGCTGGTGGCCCTGGATCAAAGCGTTATGAGGACTGTTCATCAACTATTGGGGAAGATTCGCAAATTAAGTGCGAGTACATGTTGAATTCCATGCCCAAGAGGTTGTGTCTGGTGTGCGGGGACATTGCGTCAGGGTACCACTATGGAGTGGCATCCTGTGAGGCCTGCAAGGCCTTCTTCAAGCGCACCATCCAAGGTTGGCTTCCATTTTTACTTGGTGTCTTCAATTATCTCTCTGTTTTTTTGTCTGTATTTCTGTCTGTGTGTCGTATTTCTCTCTAGCTCAACACTCCCGTCAGCCTCTGTAACAGAACATGTGGATGTCTATGTTGATTATTTTTGTTAAAAACTGTTACTTTAATTTCTTCCAATTTTGCATTCGTGAAGCTCTGTTAGCATATTAAAAAGATCATAGAGACATCACAGGAAAACATTACAGGGTTGGTTGCAGACACACAAGGTCAGAGGTTGAAGGTAAGCATAATCCTCTGCATATTGAACTAAATAGGCTCCTCAGAAATGCACAATCTTTCAGACTAATCCTGCATATAGAGCACCTAAAACCTAAGTGTGGTGACATAAATATACGTACTTTTTTCAGTTTCAAATGAAATGCACAGACACATGCATATACACCTACAAGCTACATCTAGGACATATGATAAAAGCCCCAGGCCACATGTAAACCCAGATTTTTATAAGGCACATGTCTCCTCCTCTGTCTGCTAAGTGAGCCACCAGGACGCCCACACAGCCTATTTTTTCTTTCTCCTTCACCATTTCTCGATCCATCATGCATGCGTGTGCACACGCTTATAGACATGCAGTCATCTCTCAAACATCACCCCTACTTTCACCTTCAACCTTGACCTCTTCTTCATAAACAGCAAAGAATAATTTCCTGGTCGTATTTGCATTCCCAGGTCTAGCTGCTTATGCTTCACAGTAAGAGTGTTAGCTATAAGCCTGTTGTCTAGCAGATAACGTAGTGTTAAGGTAAGGTCAGAGGTCGTTTCTAGGGGTCAGCAGTTCAGGTTAGGGGGAAAAGGAGAGAAGGGATAGAGCAATAATCCACATGATGAGAAGAGTACCAGGAATTAGGCTCAGTAATCCTTTGCTCATCTCTTGTTAGGGCTAGAAGTAGCCCAGGAAGTGCACAGGTATTTCAAATTGGCTCTACAGATTTTGAAGCTATTCAATTAATACTCAACTCTTACCTTGATCACCATTACATTCTTCCTTTACCCTTGTACACACAGTATAGGTCAGTCTGACAACCAGTTTGCTATAAAGCAAGCCAGCTAGTTAGCCACTTGTTCACTGGCCCACACTGTTTAACAACCAAGTTTCAAAACATGTACAATAGGTGTAATGTCATTGTAGTTATCTTACAAATGTAGCACAAAATGTACTCCTCAGTTAATGATTACACAGAGTTTTATGACAGTTTCCATATTTCATGTCACAGTGAGATGTCATTCTATACCAAAGTAGCATCAAAGGTGAAGAACTAAAATAAAAACTGGTGATATTCTAGAAAAACAAACAATTCCTATAAACACATCAAAACCAGCAGAGTGCTAATCTGTCTGTCAATAGAATCCAGCTCAGTCCGTCTGAGTCAATCAGCCGCTTTAACAAGACATCAATCTTCAAAAACAGGTCTCAAATACATACGTACTGTTTGTTAAATCAAGATTTATATAAGTGACTATTTCCTAAACACTGGGCAGTGTTAGCAAGCATTGTTAAACTTTTTCAGTCACTGCTTTTGCATGCTAGATAGTATTTACAGCAGCAAAAAAGTACATTTTGACTAGAGGTTAACACATGTACAGGGGAAGACAAATCATGTTTGTAGAATCAGTTCATTGTTGGTTTTGATGTTTTTCATTGAATTTTTTCCACAATAATAAATATGGGTTTTCTCACCAATCCTTTTCTTTTAATAACCCAGAAGCCATAAGTCGGTAATTTTAGGTCAGAAAAAAGTAATTATATTTTATATTAGGAACACCATGACACTTTCCACCTATTCAAATAGTCGGTTAGCAACTGATGAACCTCTGAATATCTCACTAATCAGGCCCATCAGTGAGCAGGACAGCCCTCTTGTCAGTTAGTCTGCCGCTGCAATAACCAAGCTACCAGTCAGCCAGCCGGTCGTCATCGATCCATTGAGTCAGTCAGTCAGTCAGTCATATCAGACAGGATTCATCTATCTGCCTTTCCATCCATCCACCTATCTGTCGCTGCTTTCTTTTGCCTCCGATAAGCAGCTTTCCCAGTAAAGCCCCAGAGACAGAGAGAGACAGGAAAATGGGGAGGGGTTGGAAGTCTTACATTCACTAGATGGTCACCACTACCTAGAGATGACCTGTATGTGTTTATTATGGGATGAGATCGCGACACAGTGCAATCCTGACAAATAGATTGGAGCACACACATGCAGAGATAAAGGCAGACAAACACACACACACACACACACACACAAACACAAACTCATAGAATCGCGTTCAAACATGGAAACCAACACACATGAATAGACTGTCACACACATGACCTTTTAATCATTCTGTGTATAGGTTTAACCCCTAATTCATCTGTCATAGCGGCGATGTCAAATAGTTAACCAATTCCACATGCCTCATTTCATCTACAAGGCTTGTTAAAGGTTACCTGGGTTAGGACACTGGTACAGATTAAATACAATAGAGAGAGAACACATAGGTATGATGCTGTGTTGACAGTAGGGTCTCCTTTGACTATGACCTTCAGTAGCTTTAAAACAAAGCTCTGTCGCTCTCTGGTGTCTTCATTTTCATGTGTATTTGTTATCCTCCCCTCTCCTGTTGTGGATATGTTGCACATAAGGAAAGTGAAAGTTGGAGATTATGAATCAAGACATTGGAAAAACTAGTCACCGGGTCGTTGTAATGGAGAATAATAGTAGGCTATACTGAAAAATGAAACACAAGCAAAAAAAACACATGCTCAAGTGGAATTACTATTCATTTTAAAAAGACATCCCCATCCTCGTATTATGGGCTCAGTTAACCAAACTATGTTCATTGTTGTTGTACTTTATTTCATCAAAATTAACATGAAGTTTGTAAATTCTTAAGCTTGAATGAACACAACTTTACTTCAGTGTGCAAGTCTACTACTGCACTGACTCTATAGGAAGAGACTTCAGTTTCTTTTGTCAGTGTTTGTGCTACAGTACCACTGTTAATGTTTGTTTGGATGCAGACTGAGCATTCTTGGATCCACCGGAACAAATGGGTCATGATATTATCTTTGGCTACCACACACGGCAAACTCGTCCCCAGACAGTGTGGATGTTATGTGTCTGTGTGTGGGCTATGTGTGTGTGTGTCTGTGTGTGTGGTGTGTGTGTGTTCCTCCGAACGTAAATGGGTGCAAGTTTACGCGCATGTCTGTGCACACATTCTTGTTTATGCGTGGTTGTGTGTTAGTGTGTGTGTCCTGGCAGGAAAGCAGGGCCAGCCTCAGATGGGCAGCGGCAGACATATTGGTATGTTTCAACCCATTAGCCAATAAAACCGCAGGTAATCACCAAAAAAACACCTCCAGCTGGACAGGGATGAGAGGAGAGGAGAGGAGAGGAGAGGAGAGGAGAGGAGAGGAGAGATGCAGATGAACAGTAAGTTGAGACGAGGAATGAGGGAAAGAGGGGAGAAGGGAAAGGGCGGACTGGGCACATGGATGTAGGAAGGAATTAGCGGTATGTGTGTGCTGGTGTGTTTGTGCATGTGTGTGTCGCAGCGTGGAGGAAGTGGCTCTGGCAGCTGCTGTTTCTGTGGCGTCAGTCCAGCGACACCTGACAACCTGCATCTATCACTCCCTTATTGAGAGAGGGGGATAAAGGGGAGTGAGGAGGAGGGCAAAGTATGGGAGAGGGAGGTACGGGGCGATGAAATTGAAAGAGAGAGGCAACAAGAGTTAAAAAGAAAGGTGGAGGAGAGCAAGAAAGAGGAAGATGGGAAAGGTGATAGCGATGTAGAGCAAAGGAATGACTGAGAGGTATAGCGAAATAGGTGGAGGATGGTCCGCAGAGAAGGAAATATACAGAAATCTCCTCTTATAATGTCTTCAAGATTCCTGGATAAATAAACAAGTTCCACAATAGTAATATAGCTTTGCACAATTGCATGTGTACATAATTTGGTGTAAAGTGTTATGGGGCATCCTGAGCTAAGAGCATACAATGTGCAGCATTTACAGTGTGTTGGATTCAACTGTGGTTCAGGTGCTCTCCAGTTAAAAGTATTTTATGAAAAACCATGGTACAAAGACTGAAAAAGTACTTAGGGGAGGGGGGTTAGAGGTATAGCGTTAGGAGAGGCGAAAAGAAATTCAGCACAAAGAGGACGGAAGGCCAAAACACACTGACATTCATATTACACAGTCTGTACAATAGTGGTCAATTGTCATGCAGCAGGTGGACAAGTACACACATCTCAAAGGAGATTGCAGGGGATTTAAGGCCCTCATATATCCCCCCCTTTTTCACACAAACACATACAAGCCCATGTGTTACACACAGGAGCCTCCAGGAACCTCTCTAGTCTAAGCTCACACCAGTGCACAATAAGACACATAAAGACAGAAATCAAGACACACACATGCACAGAGAACTATGACATTGTGGTCTAAACCCTTCTATTCTAATTCCTTTCCTATACCAGCCCAGCGTTTGTGTCTGTGTCTGTGCACAGAAAGAGTATACAGCAAGGTGACACATAAGTTCCATATTTCTATATCACACCTTGTGATACTTGGGCCTGTTGGATGTATACCCACTGAATATGTGTTATAAGACTGTAACAACAACTACTTGCCCATGATCCTCTTTTAGTTGTGGTACTTTAAACTGAAGTGTCACTGATGTTATTTCTGTCACCGGTGTCACTTTATTCAACAACTAATTGTAAAAGGCATCATTATTATTATTGCCTGTTAACACCCACTTCCAGTGTAGCACTCAGCATGTGTCGCTCTCCACTTTTTTTTTTTTTTTTTGACTGGGGGTTTAGCGTGTTTAGTCTTCGTGGTACCAGCCCTGTAAGTGGGTCTTTACTGCAGTTATCCATTTAGCGGGGCTTGCGTGAATAACAAAGCCTTTTACTGACTACCCATTAACCCATGCAGACTCCGTGTCATTAGCACATTTAGCCTCACTGCTAAGTAAGTGTCTCTCTTAATTGCAGAATTAATCTGCTCCTCCTGTATCATCAGTATGTAAAGGTTGAGTATTAGCTAACTAGTCCCATCAGTACTGTCCATTAGACTGTAAGGGTTCCCTGAGCATTTAGCATGTTTAGCCTTTACTTTAACTAACAAGGCCAATTAATGGGTATCTTGTTACCCATTAGGAAGTGTTTGTGCATTTAGCCTCTTTCCAAGCTAACTAGCTCCTTAATCAGCCCAGTAATGAGAAAACATCCTCTCCACAGCAGCAGTCAATAGTAATCACTGTTTACTCTGTTTCAGTGGGAGATGTATTGGCTTACTGGGGTACTGTAGTTGTCAGGTGGGCATGGGAGGAAGAGAAAAGGTTTTGTTTTTTTTCTTTGTTTCATATGCGAACACAGTTCTTAGTACTGATAAATAAACCTTTCTGAATATAGAAACAAGCTGGACAAGTCTGTACCAGCCTAAACTGTTGCAGCAAATCCATAGCTGTGCTTTCCGCTGAACTGGGGGGAAGCACATTACTAAGTGGAGGAAATGAGTAGAAATGGAGGAGAGTGAAGCTGAAAATGAGAAAACTAATAAAAGAGGGAACAATAAAAAGAAATGAGAACAGCCGTATTGGGCACAGCAGATGGTAAGAAAATATTCATTTCGACATAAAATACAAAGGTTGAAAAATACAGAGGACAAAGGACATGACATTATAGTAGTAGGAAGATATAAATATAAAAAAATAAGTATGGTAAAATAAAAAAAATAAAAAGTGAGGAGCAAAATTAAGATGTCATCGCATTATTGAATGTATTAGTATAAATGTTACATCTTAGTTGGGAGCTAAACCACCCACAACAAAGGCAGAAGAAACAGTCGGACACTCTTTAAATGAAGGTAAAAGTGGTATTCGGCTTACACTTACGGTGTTGTTGTTGTTGGCCAGAGTTGTGACGGTAATAGACTTACATGAGTTAATAATCTTAACCTTAGATCTGCATCCGACTGTCGCCGCCTGTCCTCCAGCTTGTCACGCAATCTCAGCTGCTACACATGTACTTCCTATGTATTGTCATTTAACACGCACAGACATCGCCTTAGTGGACACATACACTAATGCATTTCTATGTCTGTCTTTTAAACAGCCATTGATATATTACTTATCAAAAAATCAAAAGTCAACAAGGAAGCAGATTGACTGCCTATTGTGGTCCATTGAAAAGACTTGCTTTCCCTGTATATGGTCAATGTACCAACACAGGGCTGGTTAAAAATCTGAAGTCAAGATACATGCGTCTGTTTTTACCTGCAACTATACATTTTGTCTGTGTCAGTTTATCAATCTGTATTAAAATATACTCTATTTCTGTTTCTGTCCATTTGTCAGTGTTTATCAGGATGTCCTGCATACAGCTTGTCTGACTACCTCTCTGTGTCTGTAACTGAAATGAAACCTTCCTTTCTGTCTTCCTCCAACATGTCTACATGCCACAGGCAACATTGAGTACAGCTGTCCAGCCACCAATGAGTGCGAGATCACCAAGAGGAGACGCAAGTCGTGCCAGGCCTGCCGCTTCATGAAGTGTCTGACTGTGGGCATGCTGAGGGAGGGTAAGGGAAAAGGTCTCTTCCTTATCTTTCTCTGTTAACTGTGCTACATGTGGCATTTTAAAGTCTATTAGATACACTATACCTGACAGTAATTTTCAGTTAGTGCTGTATTAACTTAAAACAGACCAGGGGCCCGTTGTTTGAACATGGATTAACATTTTAGCTGGATTAAATTGATGATAATTTTGTGTGATCCCGGATTTCTCAGTTCTTTGAAAGAGTCGTTGGCTGTCTCGGCAATGTATCTGTAAGGTCAAATCTGCTCAGGCACAGGTTTACTCAGTGTAAACCAGATTAAATGGAGTCATTTGAAGAAATCCACACAACCATTGAACTCTGCGTCATTTTTGCAGAAGGAACCGGTTGCATTTGGTGAATTGGTAAAAGGAAGAGCATTTGAGAAAATTGCACAATCATCAAGATCCTTCACCAAACCCTGACTCATTACTTGTAGAGATGAACTGCTTAAGTCAGGAGGGAACAATTCACACATATGGCCCAATTTAGTAGCACCTCATAAACTGGACCTACTGACAGGAGTGTGACAACATTTCCTGCCGCTGCCTCTGATACTGTAATATCATTTAATTCTTTTTATTGTTTTGTTTTCGAAAAGCACACAATAAAAATAACAGTTTCACTAATAGGAGCCTCATTACTTACATGTTTAATACGTCTGCCACCTTTCCTTTCTTTTTCAGTATTACTCTCACTGCCAATTGTCACACTAGATTCCTATAGTCAAAGCTCTTCCTCTGCTGGGGTGAACATTTGAGCCCTGTCTTCCGTCTTCCCTCCAATCACAGAATTGTTGATCATGGTTTCCGTGCTCAGTGATCACGGGAGCGTGCAGTCATCTCAGATGATTCAATCTAGCTATGTAAATTAAAATTCTGATGTGGGTTCAAAGAACTGAACAAACCGTATTAGCATAGTCAGGATCAGCAGATCCAGGATCAGCCAGGTGATCTTGGATCTTATAAGTGGCGTATGGAGAACGGGCCCCTGGCCATTGATGAAAAGATCGGCAACTTTTATCAGCCTCAACCCAGCGTTTTGTAGCATGTACCCCTGGGCTGGACGTGGTGTGCACAAACCTGTTTATTCTATCTGAAGATACAATAACACAGAGAGGCACACTGTACTGTTTTAGGAGGATGATTCTGAGGGAAGGTTTTCCCAGAACAGAAAGTATGCCATAGATACAGCTTAGCCTTATCGACTATAGTGTCAATATTTTACACTAAATATAACAAATTTATTCACAGAAGTATGACAGTGAATTAGTGGTGTTGAACAATGCTACATGTAACATGCACAAGAAATTGTCAGTACTCGTTCCACATATAGTATTTTTTAATTATTTTCTTTTATTTGTATCACATGCCTCTTGTTGCCTTCACATTTCTGTATTCTTTGTACATCCCTGTGTGCGTTTACAACTATGTTTCTCTTTGTTGTGCTTTTTAACTCCATCTCTTTACACTGATCCCTGCTCTTCCTTGCTTTCCCTGTGTATGTTCACCTTTCTCTTCGAAATACACAAGCTAGCTACATTAGAATAGTTTATATGAGGTCGTGTACTCACACAGAGACCCGCTTAGAGTCCCTGACTAAATCCCCGTTTCACTTTACCCAAACGAGATGAAGACAGAAATTACAGAGGAATTGCAACACTCAGCAGTTGTTTAGTAGTAAAGAGAGGTAAGAAGAAGAAAAAAAAACAATAGATATTATCTGCCCCCACACCACTTTGATTAAATACACTCACTCTCTCATTTTCACACTCCCTCGTTGCCTTTTGCCTCTTTCTCTCCCTCTTGTCTGCCCACCTCTGACCTTTCTACTCCCACTGCACTTCCAGCGATGAAAGAGGGAGAGGAGTGGCGAGGGATGAAGAGGAGGGCTGATAGAGAGAAAGAAGGGGAGCGGGAGGCAGAGGGGGAGGTGAGAGAAACCTAGGGGAAGGGAGGGAGGGAGGCAGGGAGGGAGAAGAGATTGATTTATAGGAGCAGAGGAGAGGGACCAAGGGAGGATGAGAGGCAGGGGGAGGATGGTTGAATGAAGCAGAAAGTGTGTGAGAGAGAGAGAGAAAGGAGACGAGAGGAGGGTCAAGGTTGTAATTGATGGGAGACCTGGCCTACGCCCCCTTCCTCACAGTGGTCAGGGAGCGTGCCTGGGCCGATGCCTGCCGGCCCTCCCTCCATCCATTCCTGTCTTCGTCTCTCCCTGCAGCTCTCCCACTCGGTATTATTGTACAGTTTCTGACGCTTCTTTTATGTCTTGCGTCCATCCATTGTGTTCTTCGCTCGCTGTTCTCTGTATCCTGTCAGCGCCATAATACTCCTGCCTGCAGCTGTAATGTGGATAAAAATTCAGCTTTTATCACAAACGCTTTGTGGGTTCACGACTTCACAAGATTTCCAAACAAAAAAATATTACTACTTAATTTATTAATTTCATCCACAAAACAAAAAAATAAAATAAACTGTGTACATAAAAGTCTGAGTGTACAAACATGGCGGTGCTTCCTAAAAAAATGTCTTTATTATAAATTAACACCGCACTAAAAACATTTATTAATGTATCGCAAAATTATGACTAAATCCTACATTTGTGGTCATAAAACTGGCTTAAATAAAATATATATCACAAGCTGGTGCCAACAATTGACATCATGCCACTACTATACTTAAACTGGAGCTAAATGTAGTTTGTAGTAATGTAGTTAAAGGGAAGAAAACTTTATATTATGAATTTCAGAATCCAGATTTATCCCAGCCACTTTCACTTCAGTGTAAAATAGTGCTCTCCTCTGTCTCTTTTCTTTCTTTTTTTTTCTTGCACACTCACAAAAAGACACACACACACACACATGCTCACTCTCAAGAAGCTGCTGTCGTAGCGTTTGTTCTCCCAGATGATCCGACGTAGGCAGAACCCATGTCTCATCTCCTGTTTTGTCTCGCATGTGTGCATGTGGCCGCAAACACACATGTACACGCGTGTAATAGCATGTATTATTGGCAGCTCCAACGGTCTCACGGTTTACACGGCTCAGGCTGCATCCTCCTGCTCGACACAGAGACCACATCAGCCTGCTCTATAAAGTCACACAAGGCTCTTCATTTACACCGGAGTATGTATATTAATAATTTACCATCAATACAAAAGTTGTAAATACTTTCCTTACCTGAACTTTGTTTATCTGTGAGGAGCTTTGGAGGAGGCAAACATAACCAGAGAGACTGACCAGCTCCTAAATCTTATAAACATCTTAAAAAATAAAATATAAATCCACTCCTTTTTTTTTTCTTTCTTTTTTAGGAATGTGCGATATGTTTGCAGCAATGTAGCTGAGGGACATGTGTTTGTGTGTTTCTGACCTGAGCAGGCAAACAAATGGCTGCCTTTTGTTGCCGCTGCTTCCCCGATCTACACACATACATCATGCACACACACATTGGCTCACATATCTATATATCAACATGACAGACCACAGCCACCCCATTTGTTGTGCAGGGTCTGAATTTAATACAGGGGGTTCCACTCTACATATGAATAAAGGTCATTTGGAAAATTGATACATACATTTGTTTTTTCCTAATTCTTTATGAATCCAAAGAAAATGTAAAATGGTCAACAGTTTGGCATAAAGGAGCTGAATGTTTTTCCTCACCTAAGCTTTACTCTGTGAGAGGCATTAGCTTATTATATATGCTTAATTGTTATATTTAAAAAACAAACTATACATTCTGTAGCTAGATACTAAATATCTCTTTAAATATCCCCATATTTTTTTATTCTTAAAACTGACCCTCAACTCAAAACAGAATAGAATCCATGAGTGTCAGATAAAATTCAGTGAAAGGACTTCGCTCATCAAAAGTATTACCCATAAAGAATCACAATCTAATCAGAATAGAATTTATTTTTCTTGTATCTGAAACCTTGTAAACCTTCAAAACATTGTGTAAATCACTGCATCTGTTTTGATGTAGCTGTTTTTTAAAGAAAAGAAATGACGTAGGAGCGTCTTGATTGGTCAGGTATTTATTTATTTATATTTTTTACATCTTTTCGACTTTTCACAGTGAACTAATAATAACATACATCTCCGTAGAGACCAATGTGTCATATGACAAAGGACGTGGTTACACTACCTGGCTGAGCATTTTATCAAAGTAGACAATCAATCCTTCACACACACACAAAAACCCTTCATTCAGGAACATTACCTGCTGCGTTTCGTTCTGCCCTTCTGGGTGAAGGCGTTGTTGTTGCAGAATTGCATAGATGATAATGGTAAGTGGCTAGATCAGTTAGCATCAGGGCTAACTGTGGTTGTCAGGGGCTAGCTCACGGGAGAAAGGTGAAGATAAAGTGGTAAGGGTGGAGTGGGGAGGAGGACATGGAGTAGTGTGTTTGTGTGTGTGTGTGTGTGTGTGTGTGTGTGTGTGTGGATGCTGTAGTTTACCCCTTAGGGCAAGATCTGCCTCAAATTAGCTTTGTCGCCCTGGGAGACAGAGAGGGTGAGATGAAGAGCAAGTGAGGCAGCAAGGAAGCATGTGTGTGTGTGAGAGATGGAGAAAGAGGGGAGAACAAGAGGCCAGGGGGTCAGTAAACCAACTCAGAGTGGAGCTCTTTCTTTACATGTTCTCTTAAACACACACCTGATCGTGTGAATACGCTCACACGCAGTCGTGTCAGTGTGGAAAGCAGGATTTTCTCACCCACCACTGTGAGCGGTAGAGGAGTAGAGGAGCAGGGGATAAACTGAAGGCAGGAACAAACACGGGGCGCACACCCACCAATATGTAGCAGCTAATTTCTGGAGCAAGGCAATTAAAAACCCTGATTATATTATGAGAACTACCCCTCTGGCAATGGCTGTCTGTCCATTTTTAATGAGGTCATAATGATGCGTCAGCTGAAGACCAAAAGGTCACAGGGGCGGGACTTAAATCTGCCTAGAGAGAGGGAAGGGTAGAAGGAGAGAA